AATTGGTATACTACACTGGCGGAACTGGCGGTAAAAAAGAACTGCTCAAATGTTGCTATTATCGTATGTAACAGGAATCTTAACAATCAATCTTTTATTGTACACTGGCGGTCAAAAAGAACTGCTTAGATACAAATTCATAAAGAAGAAGGGAATATAGGACAGAGCTTCATATAGGCATTTTGGATAATTCTCCTATTCCAAGCAATATTTCAATAATGCAATGCAACCTGCCACACTTCCAAGATATTCAAACAATAGTTTTAATGAGAAGAGGGAGTGACAGAAATGGATTGGCCTGCACAGTCAAAAGACCTTAACCCTTATTTAAAATCTGTAGGACAATGTCAAGGGGATAGTGCATGCAAGAAAGGAATTAATTCATAAAGAGTCCATGATTCATGGATTGCTGTAAGGCCTGTCCATACGATGAATTTCTTTCAACTGTGAAGGTTACCACCTTAACGGAAAGCATGCCACGCCGGTGTAAGGCTGTTCTCAATTATAAGGCCAAAGGAGGGTGAACAGAATATATATGGTTAAAGGGACAGTTACGTTCATTTGAGAGCATTTTAACTTGTTTTGAGCAGTTCTTTTTGACTGCCATTGTATATGCATTATACCAATTATCCCAGTTGATTAATGAACCAACTTCTAATTACTATTAGGTCACCTAGCACTATTGAATATGTAGTTACAAATACACATGAGAAAATTTCACATTATGGTGTTGTACACATTGGAATCTGTGGTCACGGTTTAGTTTACGCAATCAGAAGAACTGGAGCTTTTTATAAAGTTAATGATTTTATTTAAATTAGAAATACGAAAAACTTTTATTAGAATAATTTTATGAATGAACTTCTTAATCAACATTGGGAGAATATGTCTACTTTTTTGGTGAAAACAAACAAACAACATTAATTAAGGGTCTCATAAATACAAGAGACAAATTAAAAAGAAAACCAACTATCACAAAGCTATTTTATAGCTGTATGAGCAGTTTGCATTACTTGCGTTAAAAACATTACAAAGCTGAATGATGTGAGATTCGTTTAAAGCAATACGGCCCTGAAATCTTGCATTCCCTATATACTATTTATTCCAAGTTAATAAAATGCGTCTCATCTATCGAAAATGCATTTGAGAATGCTTTATGCACTAGGCACCAAATAGCCAAATGAAGTTTGTATTCTACCGACGTTGAACCAAAATATTTCAAACACAACTATACATCAAATATATTTAATTAAATACCATTCTCCTTGCGTCCATCGAAATGTTTTATATTTTCAGACAGACAAATGATATTCAAGTTCACTAAAATCACTGTACTAACAAAATGTAAAGAAATTAAAAGAAAATACTTACAGCGAATTGCTTTGACGACTTATGCGACTTTTCAGTATTATTACTACGATCACACACGATAAATAAACAAACATTTTAAACGCGGGATAATTGTGTATTGCAAGGGTAATAACTAATTGTATCCCACTGTATCCCTTAGAAGCATTATTTTTCAATGATCTATTTATAAATGTGATTGTTCGTATTATTATAAAAACGAAACGAACTAGTCTGGGAAATACCGTTATGAGTTCATTTTTTAAAAAGATTGGAATTACCGAAGAAATCATCTGAAGACATCAACCAAATACACATCATTGGCGTAAATTGTACTTAAACACAACAAATCCACGGATAGCGAAGCAACGCTCATTTTCGAAAAGGCCCTTTTTCTCAAGAAGATGTCATTTGGAACAGAACATTGACACGTATTTATCTTTTGACTTTGCTTTTCTCTTTCCACGTGCAGACATCCTTTCTAAATATTCTTGCGTTTAATATCACTAAGATATTCCATGTGTTTTCATCTGTAAGTGTCCCTGGTTCCACGCTGCCAAAATGTCGAACTGACGTTTTCAATTCATTTTTTCAAACCATTTTTGTTTTCAATATTTCATCGTGTCTTAATGTACGTTAATTTACTGAAATTTAAATAAGCGCGTATCCCAAAATGTATAAGATTACAAACTGAGGAATGTTCCAGTTTTACCAGTAAAAAAGGCTTCTTTCGCGGTTAGTTTCACGTGTATAAGACGTTATAATATACGGTAGAATTTCGCAAACACTGCTAAATTTACGAACATTTGATTGAAATTTTGTACAAATTTGGCGCACGAAATAAATTCTTTACAATCTGAGGAGAGTGACACATATCTGCGCCATTGAGTTTAAAACGATATTAAATTTCATTAGAAAAAAATAAATATCTTAATAAAAATACATACTTTACTTTTTAAAAATTAAACGTGTTTTGGTTAAATCAAAACAATTTTAGTACTATAACATATATAATATAATATAAAAAAGCACATTTAAATATAATTAATTAAGCAAATACAGTATGCAATATTCATTAATAATATATATATAATTATATATATATATATATATATATATATATATATATATATATAGGTCTGGTATGAGTTAAGGTAGCACTATATGAGATGGTGGTTTTCTGGACAGTCGTTCTGGTGACTTCCATGAGAGAAGACCAGGATTTTAAGTAATTGTTTTTTTTTGTTTTTTCATTTTTCTTTCTTTACCTTGGTTCTTTGCAATTCCGCACGACTTGATCGAGACTTGGCTTGGTGGTTGGTGGATGCTGGTTAAAATATATAAATAGATATTAAATATAAATATAATGAAATGCAGGTGTGGTACAGTAGATTTTTTCATCTTTCTTTCTTTAAACTTTTTGTTACGTTAGAATGAACTTTAGGGATGAGGCCATCTTTTGTTGGATTCTACTGGGTTTTTTAGTCCTTCATCATTTCTTACAGCCAATTGTAAGTGTCGGGGTATGACTCACGACTTATTGTTCTTCCTGATTTTCAATACTCATTGTCTTTTGTGGAAAACAACGAAAATTTAATTTAATGAATGCCTTTTATTTGGGAGTATAATTGTTTAATTTTCTATCATTTCTTCTTTCTTCATTCATTATTCCTAACTGCAAATGTCGAGGAATTATAAAATTAAATGTTGTGATATGTTATAAAATTAAAATATTACTATTATGATTAAGCAACTCAGGGGTGCAGATATGAACACTTGGATTAGTCTTGTTATCTAGTTTTTGAAAAAAAATTACTGCTCAATTTTGGTGGTGTGGCTAACCATTGCTTAATAATGTCTATCTTTCTTCTTTATTTATTTCCTATATTAAGTCTATCTTTTTCTTTCTTATGCCTGTACACATATCTTGAATTGTGCATGCGTGCGAGTAAAGATATGTTTGGTCATTGTATGTATGCATGTGTCTTTCATTCCAAATTTTTCACCTGGACAATATGGTGAAACATCACTCAAAACAAGCAATTGAAGAACACTAAATGGGCACCATTAATGGATTGAATGGAACCAATTAATGAACGGAATGGAATTATAAACCAGTATTGGATTTTTTGACATGCCTTATGGCTTCATTGATATAAGCTCTTACAAAGCTTGCATTCTTAATAATATGGTTGAACATCTTATTCTCAGACGTTAATCTTCATTCAATTATATTTGACTGGATGGAAATCTTGGATAGGAATTATAAACCAGTATTGGATTAAACCAGCAGAGTGAAGCACGTTTGTTGTAAAGAGTCGGATTTGGAGAATTTTGACACGCGTGTTTTCGTTCGCAAGTTTTTTAACTTCCGACAACATGCTAAGCAAGACATTTTCGTACAGTTTGTAACATTTATTTTGCAATATGTAAGCTGCAGCTAGGTGTAGTGGTGTTTCCTGTCTATGAATGGTGTCTCCTTCATGGATTTTTATGCTCTCACAAGCATGCCTTGATAATAACAATGGGTGAATGTTATTTTCAGACATTAATCTTCATTCATTTATATTTGACTGGATGGAAATCTTGGATAGGAATTATAAACCAGTATTGGATTAAACCAGCAGAGTGAAGCACGTTTGTTGTAAAGAGTCGGATTTGGAGAATTTTGACACGCGTGTTTTTCGTTCGCAAGTTTTTTAACTTCCGACAACATGCTAAGCAAGACATTTTCGTACAGTTTGTAACATTTATTTTGCAATATGTAAGCTGCAGCTACGTGTAGTGTGTTTCCTGTCTATGAATGGTGTCTCCTTCATGGATTTTTATGCTCTCACAAGCATGCCTTGATAATAACAATGGGTGAAAATGTTATTTTCAGACATTAATCTTCATTCATTTATATTTGACTGGATGGAAATCTTGGATAGGAATTATAAACCAGTATTGGATTAAACCAGCAGAGTGAAGCACGTTTGTTGTAAAGAGTCGGATTTGGAGAATTTTGACACGCGTGTTTTTCGTTCGCAAGTTTTTTAACTTCCGACAACATGCTAAGCAAGACATTTTCGTACAGTTTGTAACATTTATTTTGCAATATGTAAGCTGCAGCTACGTGTAGTGGTGTTTCCTGTCTATGAATGGTGTCTCCTTCATGGATTTTTATGCTCTCACAAGCATGCCTTGATAATAACAATGGGTGAAAATGTTATTTTCAGACATTAATCTTCATTCATTTATATTTGACTGGATGGAAATCATTATAACCAGTAATGGAATGCCTTTAGCTTCATGGATTTAAGCATGGTTTTAAGCAAAGAAAAAGAACAGTTATTATTTATTTTTTTTACATAATGTAGGTAATTGTTAATTGTTAAGTCATTAAGAATATACAACACCATTAATTGTTGCAAGAGTAATGGTAATTCATCTCCGACCAAAATTATCTCAAGCCGAAAACGAGGTGAAAGAGAATGATTGTAAAGTTCTGCTGCATTGTGGAACAAGGATTTGCGCTCGAGCTCGCAGCGGAGCTAGCCAGCCTGTCTGCATGCAATATTGCATGCAATATTGCATGCATGATATAGTTTAAATGCGGAACAACGGAGAAAAAACGCTATTCCAAGCTATGCAGCTGCGAGAATTGCACTCACCCGCTGGAGGTAGGCGAAATTTCGTCTCCAGTCGCCTGTTCGCGTGACGGCGCAGGGCTGCGATGGCCGCCCCGTGTGCTCGATATCCGTCCATGCATCGATCCGCCGCTTTTCGGTTCTGCAAAATGCGAGCAAACAAACGGCGATTAACCTATCTGTGTACTATTAATATATCTGTGAGACGAACGAACGTTCGCGGCCAAACGATGGATTATTATTACACACGTAGATTACAGCTATGAATGATTCTGGCAAAGAGCTTGCTTGCTTGCAAGAAAGTCGGCCGGGCGTGCCCTCGTTTCACGTGCAAGTACGAGTCAATTCCTTCTGCATGCATGGAGATTAAGATTTCGATCGAGTGCAGCCTAGCTCCGATTAAAACTCTCGTCCAGCCCTCTGCATGCAAATTGCATGCATGATATAGTTTAAATGCGGAACAACGGAGAAAAAAACGCTATTCCAAGCTATGCAGCTGCGAGAATTGCACTCACCCGCTGGAGCTAGGCGAAATTTCGTCTCCAGTCGCCTCTTCGCGTGACGGCGCAGGGCTGCGATGGCCGCCCCGTGTGCTCGATATCCGTCCATGCATCGATCCGCCGCTTTTCGGTTCTGCAAAATGCGAGCAAACAAACGGCGATTAACCTATCTGTGTACTATTAATATATCTGTGAGACGAACGAACGTTCGCGGCCAAACGATGGATTATTATTACACACGTAGATTACAGCTATGAATGATTCTGGCAAAGAGCTTGCTTGCTTGCAAGAAAGTCGGCCGGGCGTGCCCTCGTTTCACGTGCAAGTACGAGTCAATTCCTTCTGCATGCATGGAGATTAAGATTTCGATCGAGTGCAGCCTAGCTCCGATTAAAACTCTCGTCCAGCCTCTCTGCATGCAATATTGCATGCATGATATAGTTTAAATGCGGAACAACGGAGAAAAAAACGCTATTCCAAGCTATGCAGCTGCGAGAATTGCACTCACCCGCTGGAGCTAGGCGAAATTTCGTCTCCAGTCGCCTCTTCGCGTGACGGCGCAGGGCTGCGATGGCCGCCCCGTGTGCTCGATATCCGTCCATGCATCGATCCGCCGCTTTCGGTTCTGCAAAATGCGAGCAAACAAACGGCGATTAACCTATCTGTGTACTATTAATATATCTGTGAGACGAACGAACGTTCGCGGCCAAACGATGGATTATTATTACACACGTAGATTACAGCTATGAATGATTCTGGCAAAGAGCTTGCTTGCTTGCAAGAAAGTCGGCCGGGCGTGCCCTCGTTTCACGTGCAAGTACGAGTCAATTCCTTCTGCATGCATGGAGATTAAGATTTCGATCGAGTGCAGCCTAGCTCCGATTAAAACTCTCGTCCAGCCTCTCTGCATGCAATATTGCATGCATGATATAGTTTAAATGCGGAACAACGGAGAAAAAAACGCTATTCCAAGCTATGCAGCTGCGAGAATTGCACTCACCCCTGGAGCTAGGCGAAATTTCGTCTCCAGTCGCCCTTCGCGTGACGGCGCAGGGCTGCGATGGCCGCCCGTGTGCTCGATATCCGTCCATGCATCGATCCGCCGCTTTTCGGTTCTGCAAAATGCGAGCAAACAAACGGCGATTAACCTATCTGTGTACTATTAATATATCTGTGAGACGAACGAACGTTCGCGGCCAAACGATGGATTATATTAACACGTAGATTACAGCTATGAATGATTCTGGCAAAGAGCTTGCTTGCTTGCAAGAAAGTCGGCCGGGCGTGCCCTCGTTCACGTGCAAGTACGAGTCAATTCCTTCTGCATGCATGGAGATTAAGATTTCGATCGAGTGCAGCCTAGCTCCGATTAAAACTCTCGTCCAGCCTCTCTGCATGCAATATTGCATGCATGCATGATATAGTTTAAATGCGGAACAACGGAGAAAAAAAACGCTATTCCAAGCTATGCAGCTGCGAGAATTGCACTCACCCGCTGGAGGTAGGCGAAATTTCGTCTCCAGTCGCCTGTTCGCGTGACGGCGCAGGGCTGCGATGGCCGCCCCGTGTGCTCGATATCCGTCCATGCATCGATCCGCCGCTTTTCGGTTCTGCAAAATGCGAGCAAACAAACGGCGATTAACCTATCTGTGTACTATTAATATATCTGTGAGACGAACGAACGTTCGCGGCCAAACGATGGATTATTATTACACACGTAGATTACAGCTATGAATGATTCTGGCAAAGAGCTTGCTTGCTTGCAAGAAAGTCGGCCGGGCGTGCCCTCGTTTCACGTGCAAGTACGAGTCAATTCCTTCTGCATGCATGGAGATTAAGATTTCGATCGAGTGCAGCCTAGCTCCGATTAAAACTCTCGTCCAGCCTCTCTGCATGCAATATTGCATGCATGATATAGTTTAAATGCGGAACAACGGAGAAAAAAACGCTATTCCAAGCTATGCAGCTGCGAGAATTGCACTCACCCGCTGGAGCTAGGCGAAATTTCGTCTCCAGTCGCCTCTTCGCGTGACGGCGCAGGGCTGCGATGGCCGCCCCGTGTGCTCGATATCCGTCCATGCATCGATCCGCCGCTTTTCGGTTCTGCAAAATGCGAGCAAACAAACGGCGATTAACCTATCTGTGTACTATTAATATATCTGTGAGACGAACGAACGTTCGCGGCCAAACGATGGATTATTATTACACACGTAGATTACAGCTATGAATGATTCTGGCAAAGAGCTTGCTTGCTTGCAAGAAAGTCGGCCGGGCGTGCCCTCGTTTCACGTGCAAGTACGAGTCAATTCCTTCTGCATGCATGGAGATTAAGATTTCGATCGAGTGCAGCCTAGCTCCGATTAAAACTCTCGTCCAGCCTCTCTGCATGCAATATTGCATGCATGATATAGTTTAAATGCGGAACAACGGAGAAAAAAACGCTATTCCAAGCTATGCAGCTGCGAGAATTGCACTCACCCGCTGGAGCTAGGCGAAATTTCGTCTCCAGTCGCCTCTTCGCGTGACGGCGCAGGGCTGCGATGGCCGCCCCGTGTGCTCGATATCCGTCCATGCATCGATCCGCCGCTTTTCGGTTCTGCAAAATGCGAGCAAACAAACGGCGATTAACCTCTCTGTGTACTATTAATATATCTGTGAGACGAACGAACGTTCGCGGCCAAACGATGGATTATTATTACACACGTAGATTACAGCTATGAATGATTCTGGCAAAGAGCTTGCTTGCTTGCAAGAAAGTCGGCCGGGCGTGCCCTCGTTTCACGTGCAAGTACGAGTCAATTCCTTCTGCATGCATGGAGATTAAGATTTCGATCGAGTGCAGCCTAGCTCCGATTAAAACTCTCGTCCAGCCTCTCTGCATGCAATATTGCATGCATGATATAGTTTAAATGCGGAACAACGGAGAAAAAAACGCTATTCCAAGCTATGCAGCTGCGAGAATTGCACTCACCCGCTGGAGCTAGGCGAAATTTCGTCTCCAGTCGCCTCGCGCGTGACGGCGCAGGGCTGCGATGGCCGCCCCGTGTGCTCGATATCCGTCCATGCATCGATCCGCCGCTTTTCGGTTCTGCAAAATGCGAGCAAACAAACGGCGATTAACCTATCTGTGTACTATTAATATATCTGTGAGACGAACGAACGTTCGCGGCCAAACGATGGATTATTATTACACACGTAGATTACAGCTATGAATGATTCTGGCAAAGAGCTTGCTTGCTTGCAAGAAAGTCGGCCGGGCGTGCCCTCGTTTCACGTGCAAGTACGAGTCAATTCCTTCTGCATGCATGGAGATTAAGATTTCGATCGAGTGCAGCCTAGCTCCGATTAAAACTCTCGTCCAGCCTCTCTGCATGCAATATTGCATGCATGATATAGTTTAAATGCGGAACAACGGAGAAAAAAACGCTATTCCAAGCTATGCAGCTGCGAGAATTGCACTCACCCGCTGGAGCTAGGCGAAATTTCGTCTCCAGTCGCCTCTTCGCGTGACGGCGCAGGGCTGCGATGGCCGCCCCGTGTGCTCGATATCCGTCCATGCATCGATCCGCCGCTTTTCGGTTCTGCAAAATGCGAGCAAACAAACGGCGATTAACCTATCTGTGTACTATTAAATATCTGTGAGACGAACGAACGTTCGCGGCCAAACGATGGATTATTATTACACACGTAGATTACAGCTATGAATGATTCTGGCAAAGAGCTTGCTTGCTTGCAAGAAAGTCGGCCGGGCGTGCCCTCGTTTCACGTGCAAGTACGAGTCAATTCCTTCTGCATGCATGGAGATTAAGATTTCGATCGAGTGCAGCCTAGCTCCGATTAAAACTCTCGTCCAGCCTCTCTGCATGCAATATTGCATGCATGATATAGTTTAAATGCGGAACAACGGAGAAAAAAACGCTATTCCAAGCTATGCAGCTGCGAGAATTGCACTCACCCGCTGGAGCTAGGCGAAATTTCGTCTCCAGTCGCCTCTTCGCGTGACGGCGCAGGGCTGCGATGGCCGCCCCGTGTGCTCGATATCCGTCCATGCATCGATCCGCCGCTTTTCGGTTCTGCAAAATGCGAGCAAACAAACGGCGATTAACCTATCTGTGTACTATTAATATATCTGTGAGACGAACGAACGTTCGCGGCCAAACGATGGATTATTATTACACACGTAGATTACAGCTATGAATGATTCTGGCAAAGAGCTTGCTTGCTTGCAAGAAAGTCGGCCGGGCGTGCCCTCGTTTCACGTGCAAGTACGAGTCAATTCCTTCTGCATGCATGGAGATTAAGATTTCGATCGAGTGCAGCCTAGCTCCGATTAAAACTCTCGTCCAGCCTCTGCATGCAATATTGCATGCATGATATAGTTTAAATGCGGAACAACGGAGAAAAAAACGCTATTCCAAGCTATGCAGCTGCGAGAATTGCACTCACCCGCTGGAGCTAGGCGAAATTTCGTCTCCAGTCGCCTTCGCGTGACGGCGCAGGGCTGCGATGGCCGCCCCGTGTGCTCGATATCCGTCCATGCATCGATCCGCCGCTTTTCGGTTCTGCAAAATGCGAGCAAACAAACGGCGATTAACCTATCTGTGTACTATTAATATATCTGTGAGACGAACGAACGTTCGCGGCCAAACGATGGATTATTATTACACACGTAGATTACAGCTATGAATGATTCTGGCAAAGAGCTTGCTTGCTTGCAAGAAAGTCGGCCGGGCGTGCCCTCGTTTCACGTGCAAGTACGAGTCAATTCCTTCTGCATGCATGGAGATTAAGATTTCGATCGAGTGCAGCCTAGCTCCGATTAAAACTCTCGTCCAGCCTCTCTGCATGCAATATTGCATGCATGATATAGTTTAAATGCGGAACAACGGAGAAAAAAACGCTATTCCAAGCTATGCAGCTGCGAGAATTGCACTCACCCGCTGGAGCTAGGCGAAATTTCGTCTCCAGTCGCCTCTTCGCGTGACGGCGCAGGGCTGCGATGGCCGCCCCGTGTGCTCGATATCCGTCCATGCATCGATCCGCCGCTTTTCGGTTCTGCAAAATGCGAGCAAACAAACGGCGATTAACCTATCTGTGTACTATTAATATATCTGTGAGACGAACGAACGTTCGCGGCCAAACGATGGATTATTATTACACACGTAGATTACAGCTATGAATGATTCTGGCAAAGAGCTTGCTTGCTTGCAAGAAAGTCGGCCGGGCGTGCCCTCGTTTCACGTGCAAGTACGAGTCAATTCCTTCTGCATGCATGGAGATTAAGATTTCGATCGAGTGCAGCCTAGCTCCGATTAAAACTCTCGTCCAGCCTCTCATGCAATATTGCATGCATGATATAGTTTAAATGCGGAACAACGGAGAAAAAAACGCTATTCCAAGCTATGCAGCTGCGAGAATTGCACTCACCCGCTGGAGCTAGGCGAAATTTCGTCTCCAGTCGCCTGTTCGCGTGACGGCGCAGGGCTGCGATGGCCGCCCCGTGTGCTCGATATCCGTCCATGCATCGATCCGCCGCTTTTCGGTTCTGCAAAATGCGAGCAAACAAACGGCGATTAACCTATCTGTGTACTATTAATATATCTGTGAGACGAACGAACGTTCGCGGCCAAACGATGGATTATTATTACACACGTAGATTACAGCTATGAATGATTCTGGCAAAGAGCTTGCTTGCTTGCAAGAAAGTCGGCCGGGCGTGCCCTCGTTTCACGTGCAAGTACGAGTCAATTCCTTCTGCATGCATGGAGATTAAGATTTCGATCGAGTGCAGCCTAGCTCCGATTAAAACTCTCGTCCAGCCTCTCTGCATGCAATATTGCATGCATGATATAGTTTAAATGCGGAACAACGGAGAAAAAAACGCTATTCCAAGCTATGCAGCTGCGAGAATTGCACTCACCCGCTGGAGCTAGGCGAAATTTCGTCTCCAGTCGCCTGTTCGCGTGACGGCGCAGGGCTGCGATGGCCGCCCCGTGTGCTCGATATCCGTCCATGCATCGATCCGCCGCTTTTCGGTTCTGCAAAATGCGAGCAAACAAACGGCGATTAACCTATCTGTGTACTATTAATATATCTGTGAGACGAACGAACGTTCGCGGCCAAACGATGGATTATTATTACACACGTAGATTACAGCTATGAATGATTCTGGCAAAGAGCTTGCTTGCTTGCAAGAAAGTCGGCCGGGGCGTGCCCTCGTTTCACGTGCAAGTACGAGTCAATTCCTTCTGCATGCATGGAGATTAAGATTTCGATCGAGTGCAGCCTAGCTCCGATTAAAACTCTCGTCCAGCCTCTCTGCATGCAATATTGCATGCATGATATAGTTTAAATGCGGAACAACGGAGAAAAAAACGCTATTCCAAGCTATGCAGCTGCGAGAATTGCACTCACCCGCTGGAGGTAGGCGAAATTTCGTCTCCAGTCGCCTCTTCGCGTGACGGCGCAGGGCTGCGATGGCCGCCCCGTGTGCTCGATATCCGTCCATGCATCGATCCGCCGCTTTTCGGTTCTGCAAAATGCGAGCAAACAAACGGCGATTAACCTATCTGTGTACTATTAATATATCTGTGAGACGAACGAACGTTCGCGGCCAAACGATGGATTATTATTACACACGTAGATTACAGCTATGAATGATTCTGGCAAAGAGCTTGCTTGCTTGCAAGAAAGTCGGCCGGGCGTGCCCTCGTTTCACGTGCAAGTACGAGTCAATTCCTTCTGCATGCATGGAGATTAAGATTTCGATCGAGTGCAGCCTAGCTCCGATTAAAACTCTCGTCCAGCCTCTCTGCATGCAATATTGCATGCATGATATAGTTTAAATGCGGAACAACGGAGAAAAAAACGCTATTCCAAGCTATGCAGCTGCGAGAATTGCACTCACCCGCTGGAGCTAGGCGAAATTTCGTCTCCAGTCGCCTCTTCGCGTGACGGCGCAGGGCTGCGATGGCCGCCCCGTGTGCTCGATATCCGTCCATGCATCGATCCGCCGCTTTTCGGTTCTGCAAAATGCGAGCAAACAAACGGCGATTAACCTATCTGTGTACTATTAATATATCTGTGAGACGAACGAACGTTCGCGGCCAAACGATGGATTATTATTACACACGTAGATTACAGCTATGAATGATTCTGGCAAAGAGCTTGCTTGCTTGCAAGAAAGTCGGCCGGGCGTGCCCTCGTTTCACGTGCAAGTACGAGTCAATTCCTTCTGCATGCATGGAGATTAAGATTTCGATCGAGTGCAGCCTAGCTCCGATTAAAACTCTCGTCCAGCTCTTGCATGCAATATTGCATGCATGATATAGTTTAAATGCGGAACAACGGAGAAAAAAACGCTATTCCAAGCTATGCAGCTGCGAGAATTGCACTCACCCGCTGGAGGTAGGCGAAATTTCGTCTCCAGTCGCCTGTTCGCGTGACGGCGCAGGGCTGCGATGGCCGCCCCGTGTGCTCGATATCCGTCCATGCATCGATCCGCCGCTTTTCGGTTCTGCAAAATGCGAGCAAACAAACGGCGATTAACCTATCTGTGTACTATTAATATATCTGTGAGACGAACGAACGTTCGCGGCCAAACGATGGATTATTATTACACACGTAGATTACAGCTATGAATGATTCTGGCAAAGAGCTTGCTTGCTTGCAAGAAAGTCGGCCGGGCGTGCCCTCGTTTCACGTGCAAGTACGAGTCAATTCCTTCTGCATGCATGGAGATTAAGATTTCGATCGAGTGCAGCCTAGCTCCGATTAAAACTCTCGTCCAGCCTCTCTGCATGCAATATTGCATGCATGATATAGTTTAAATGCGGAACAACGGAGAAAAAAACGCTATTCCAAGCTATGCAGCTGCGAGAATTGCACTCACCCGCTGGAGGTAGGCGAAATTTCGTCTCCAGTCGCCTGTTCGCGTGACGGCGCAGGGCTGCGATGGCCGCCCCGTGTGCTCGATATCCGTCCATGCATCGATCCGCCGCTTTTCGGTTCTGCAAAATGCGAGCAAACAAACGGCGATTAACCTATCTGTGTACTATTAATATATCTGTGAGACGAACGAACGTTCGCGGCCAAACGATGGATTATTATTACACACGTAGATTACAGCTATGAATGATTCTGGCAAAGAGCTTGCTTGCTTGCAAGAAAGTCGGCCGGGCGTGCCCTCGTTTCACGTGCAAGTACGAGTCAATTCCTTCTGCATGCATGGAGATTAAGATTTCGATCGAGTGCAGCCTAGCTCCGATTAAAACTCTCGTCCAGCCTCTCTGCATGCAATATTGCATGCATGATATAGTTTAAATGCGGAACAACGGAGAAAAAAACGCTATTCCAAGCTATGCAGCTGCGAGAATTGCACTCACCCGCTGGAGGTAGGCGAAATTTCGTCTCCAGTCGCCTCTTCGCGTGACGGCGCAGGGCTGCGATGGCCGCCCCGTGTGCTCGATATCCGTCCATGCATCGATCCGCCGCTTTTCGGTTCTGCAAAATGCGAGCAAACAAACGGCGATTAACCTATCTGTGTACTATTAATATATCTGTGAGACGAACGAACGTTCGCGGCCAAACGATGGATTATTATTACACACGTAGATTACAGCTATGAATGATTCTGGCAAAGAGCTTGCTTGCTTGCAAGAAAGTCGGCCGGGCGTGCCCTCGTTTCACGTGCAAGTACGAGTCAATTCCTTCTGCATGCATGGAGATTAAGATTTCGATCGAGTGCAGCCTAGCTCCGATTAAAACTCTCGTCCAGCCTCTCTGCATGCAATATTGCATGCATGATATAGTTTAAATGCGGAACAACGGAGAAAAAAACGCTATTCCAAGCTATGCAGCTGCGAGAATTGCACTCACCCGCTGGAGGTAGGCGAAATTTCGTCTCCAGTCGCCTGTTCGCGTGACGGCGCAGGGCTGCGATGGCCGCCCCGTGTGCTCGATATCCGTCCATGCATCGATCCGCCGCTTTTCGGTTCTGCAAAATGCGAGCAAACAAACGGCGATTAACCTATCTGTGTACTATTAATATATCTGTGAGACGAACGAACGTTCGCGGCCAAACGATGGATTATTATTACACACGTAGATTACAGCTATGAATGATTCTGGCAAAGAGCTTGCTTGCTTGCAAGAAAGTCGGCCGGGCGTGCCCTCGTTTCACGTGCAAGTACGAGTCAATTCCTTCTGCATGCATGGAGATTAAGATTTCGATCGAGTGCAGCCTAGCTCCGATTAAAACTCTCGTCCAGCCTCTCTGCATGCAATATTGCATGCATGATATAGTTTAAATGCGGAACAACGGAGAAAAAAACGCTATTCCAAGCTATGCAGCTGCGAGAATTGCACTCACCGCTCGAGGTGGAGCTAGCGAAATTTCGTCTCCAGTCGCCTGTTTCGCGTGACGGCGCAGGGCTGCGATGGCCGCCCCGTGTGCTCGATATCCGTCCATGCATCGATCCGCCGCTTTTCGGTTCTGCAAAATGCGAGCAAACAAACGGCGATTAACCTATCTGTGTACTATTAATATATCTGTGAGACGAACGAACGTTCGCGGCCAAACGATGGATTATTATTACACACGTAGATTACAGCTATGAATGATTCTGGCAAAGAGCTTGCTTGCTTGCAAGAAAGTCGGCCGGGCGTGCCCTCGTTTCACGTGCAAGTACGAGTCAATTCCTTCTGCATGCATGGAGATTAAGATTTCGATCGAGTGCAGCCTAGCTCCGATTAAAACTCTCGTCCAGCCTCTCTGCATGCAATATTGCATGCATGATATAGTTTAAATGCGGAACAACGGAGAAAAAAACGCTATTCCAAGCTATGCAGCTGCGAGAATTGCACTCACCCGCTGGAGCTAGGCGAAATTTCGTCTCCAGTCGCCTGTTCGCGTGACGGCGCAGGGCTGCGATGGCCGCCCCGTGTGCTCGATATCCGTCCATGCATCGATCCGCCGCTTTTCGGTTCTGCAAAAT